TTCTTGGGACACAACTAGGCTCACTCATTCTTGTGCGTGGCTGCTTTTGTGCTGCAGTGGGAGAGTTGAGATGTGATTTTGTGGCAGAGAAAGCTCAAAATATTTACTATCTGGCTCTTTACAGAAAAAGGTTGCCAATTCTTGGCTCATTTCACCTAAATTCTCAAATTTACTTGCAAAAGGTTGTTCATAATTTTCATTTTCTATCTCTTATTGTCTTTTCCAGTTTGTGGCAATGTCCCCATTTTCCTTCCCAGTATTGTTTGCTTGATTTATCAGTCCTGCAATGAGTCACTAATTTACCTCTTGGCTTTGCAAAGATTTTCTATGTATGATTGATTTCTAGTTTATTAATTCCTGCTCTTACATTTAGTAATTTCTTCCTTCCATTTTCGTTGAGTTTATTCTGCTGTGCCTTTTCTAATTCCTTAAAATGTAAGATTTTTCCAACCTTTTCTATTTTCTAAAATATGCTTCATAGAGCTATAAATTTCCTTTTAAGTACATTAGCTGAACCCCACAGTTGTGCCATCAATTCATTATCTGAAGTTCAAAATATTTTCTCAGATTCGTTGCCTTCATCTAAGAACATTTTCTGATTTCTGTTATGATTATTTTCTTGAACCACACATTCAGAAATATTCTGCTTAATTTCTAAACGTTTATACACTTTCTATTATTTTTGTTACTGATGTCTATTTTAATTCCAACAGGATCTCAAAATACAATCTATGACCCCAAAGATGAACTTGTTGAGAACCAGGGTTCCCAACTTGAAAATGCACCAAGTTAAGCCATTTATACTCCTGACTTCAATATTATATAAAACCAGACAAGTTGATATGTCACAAAACTACTTCAAAACACTTGGAAATCTATGCTTAGCGATTTGCAAGTATGTCAAGACAAGGTGGTCGAGTATTAATTACACAGCCTCAAGAATGACCTTTAATTTTGTCATTTAATTTTTGACAATGACATAGAAGGAAAAATCTTCTCAGCAAACATGTAGCAACAGCTGAATCTCTACTGAAAAGAAAAGGAATTTGGCCCTTGCCCTATGCATACACAAAAATTAATATGAAGTGGACCATAGACTGAGAGGTAAAAACCTAAAACCATGAAGTTTTTAAAGAAAATAGGAAACTATCTTCATGCATTAGTGGTAAGTAAAGCTTTCATAGGACACAGAGTTTGCAGTGAGAAAATTAGAACAGTTTTTGCCTCAGAGTAGAGGTTTAGAGTGAGGGGCAGCAGGGGATTCTGTTACAGAAAAACTATGAAAGGTAAGACAAGTTTGCAAGTAATGGCAATGTCCTGTATTTTGTAAAGAAGTTCAGGTTACACAGCTGCACACATTTGTGTAGGTGCTTCCTTTTCTGTAAAATTTACCTCACTAGAAAAAACTATAAACAAATATTCAATCCCAGTTAATGATACATATGCTAACACATTTCATGGAAAGTACACTGATAGATGCAAAATACTTTGAAATCAATTTAAAAATAAGACGATGGATGGCAAGAGAGAAGGAACAGAGGTGTGCGCCGCCGTACCTGGTAGCAATGGAAGAAGGAAGATAAAACGTTAAGGGTAGAATCTAGGTGAAAGAACATGGGTTGTTCACTATTGAAACTTGAGAAAGAACTTGGACGTTTTCTTTCGGTTTTGGGTAACGGAGGTGAACAGTCTTGGTTTTTACACTCCTAAATTTAGCCATTGAGCAATTCAGCATTCAGCAACTGGCTTTGATTTACAGCAAATTTATTAGCAATATATAGCAAGGATATGTTAACTGGAAGAAAAAGTTTAATAAAGTGCTTTACAAGTCTATGGCACTGTGTACGGCTGGTGTGCAGTAGTTCTTCAGGAAAGAATGATCACATTTGACACGAACCTTGTGACTTCCCACGGATTTCTGTACCACCCAGGCCCATCTGGCAATAGTTTTTCTCCTTCAAAGTCTCCTTCTACCACTTGGGGACATTGCATTTTCAGCATCAATGAAAAAGAAATCCATGCTTCACTGCACATCAGAGTAACCAATGGTGAAAACCAGTTATCATTTAAAAAATTGGAAACTATCTCCGTAATTAAACGGTTATGGGAAGCCCTCATAATGTTCAGAGGCTATGACAATTTAAGCAAAATAAAGGAAAACATTAACTAACTTCTCTAAACCGTCAAAATGGCTTGGATCTGGTCCCAATTTTGAGTGAAGACCAGCCAAACCGATTCATCCAGTGGAAACTTAAAACAAAGTACATAATTATTAGTATTTATTACACTCCCAGCACAGCAGCTCAGAGAAAAGGGGTAGCATTAAGGAGCACATCTGTAGGTTCAACAGGCATCTCCAAAGCAGGTTTTAGATCCTAGGAAACAAACCCGGGTACGATCGACAGCATCACAAAGACAAGGAAGTACCAAGAGCAGAGGTTTCAGTCTTCTGTTTGGAAGCAGACTTAGGACACATTGGCTACTAAGCTTTCAACAGTCCCCAAGTGAATTGTCAGCTCATTCTGACAAAAATCTGTGTCAAGTGACATGGGCAAACCATAGAATAATGTAAACTCCTAAAAATGAAGCAGGGAAGTATTTCTACAGCTTCTGAGGGCAGCAAACCAATCATTTTTAAATTAATCACAAAGAAACACTGAGGCCAAATAGCTTAATAATAGAGAAAAGAAAAAGAATAAGCCAGCCCCTCTCTTCATTTTATGAATTTAATAAAACCTTAATGCAAACCCAAACAAAGTCAATACAGGGGAAATTACACATCAGTCTCGTACTTGATAATACAAAATGTACCGAACCAAATATTGCCAAATTGAACATAATTAAAGCTCTGTCTCATGAACATAGTTGGTTTAACATTTTTAAAATTATTAATTTACTAAAGACTGAAGAAGAAAATGACAATTATCTCAACAACATAATACAGTAAAAGCATTAAGATTTAACAATTCATGAGGAAAGTACTAGCAAGTAGGAAATAGAACATTTTGTACTATAAAGTCTATAAGAAATCTTTGGCAAATATGATATTTCAATGGTGAAACATTAAACTTGTTCTCTGTGAAATCACTAATATTGCAAAGATGTCTGCTATCTCCCTTTCCGACCCTTCCTAGGTTTTGGCTAGTGTGTAAGCACACACATACACACGCACGCACACACACACACACATACACACCGACAAACTTACATGGAAGAAATACAATGCCATTATTTTAGTATTTACATCAACTGACTTTACAGGAAAACAAATACATTTATAGACTAGTAGATTTCAAAACACTATTAAAAGTTTTTTCTATGATAGGTCATTTATACTAATGCCTGCATTTATGAATACACACTTTTCAGACAAGGAGATACAAATGGCAAATAAATATATGAGAAAATGTTCAACATCATTAGTCATTCGAGAAATGCAAATTGAAACAACACTGAGATTCCACCTTACCCCAGTAAGAATGGCTAGCATTAAGAAATCAACCAATAACAAATGCTGACAAGGTTGTAGAGAAATAGGAACCCT